TCACAGGCCCCAGAGACACACAGTGTGCCCACCCCGCACTGTCACAGGCCCCAGAAACACACAGTGTGCCCACCCCGCACTGTCACAGGCCCCAGCGACACACAGTGTGTGTGCCCACCCCGCACTGTCACAGGCCCCAGAGACACACAGTGAGTGTGCCCACCCCGCACTGTCACAGGCCCCAGCGACACACAGTGTGTGTGCCCACCCCGCACTGTCACAGGCCCCAGAAACACACAGTGTGTGTGCCCACCCCGCACTGTCACAGGCCCCAGCGACACACAGTGTGCGTGCCCACCCCGCACTGTCACAGGCCCCAGAGACACACAGTGTGCCCACCCCGCACTGTCACAGGCCCCAGAGACACACAGTGTGCCCACCCCGCACTGTCACAGGCCCCAGAGACACACAGTGTGCGTGCCCACCCCGCACTGTCACAGGCCCCAGAGACACACAGTGTGTGTGCCCACCCCGCACTGTCACAGGCCCCAGCGACACACAGTGTGCCCACCCCGCACTGTCACAGGCCCCAGCGACACACAGTGTGTGTGCCCACCCCGCACTGTCACAGGCCCCAGAGACACACAGAGTGCCCACCCCGCACTGTCACAGACCCCAGGGACACACAGTGTGAGTGCCCACCCCGCACTGTCACAGGCCCCAGAGACACACAGTGTGTGTGCCCACCCCGCACTGTCACAGGCCCAGAGACACACAGTGTGTGTGCCCACCCCGCACTGTCACAGGCCCCAGAGACACACAGTGTGTGTGCCCACCCCGCACTGTCACAGGCCCCAGAGACACACAGTGTGTGTGCCCACCCCGCACTGTCACAGGCCCCAGAGACACACAGTGTGCCCACCCCGCACTGTCACAGGCCCCAGAGACACACAGTGTGCCCACCCCGCACTGTCACAGGCCCCAGCGACACACACTGCCTGTCAGTGTTGCCCAGTGTCCCCTTCAGGTAAGATACACGTCCTCCACAGCCACCACTCTGCCAACCCTTCC